AGTAATGGAACTCACCTGAAGTGTCTTCCCCAGGTTTCTTTGAGGCCTGAGAGACATCCTGGGAAAGTGGGAGGATCCGGCTCCAGGCTTATGACCACCTCCTAGCTTTCAGGCATGGTATCCAGGCTGGACTGCTCCTCCTTGTTCTCATTGTCCTGGTCCACAGCCCCACCCTCCTGGAGGCTGAGGATAGGCATGGCCAGGCCAGAGTCCATGATGGCGGAGAGGTGACTGGCCTCCCTCCAAGGATAGCATCCAGGTGGGAGTAGAACCAGCAGGTCTTGGGTATTGCTCCAGAGCAGGAACTTCATTCCCTGGCCTTGGTGTAGGCCTGGCTCAATTCTCTGATTTTCATGTGCACCTGGTCCAGCCCCTTCTGAGCTAGGCTTGCAGCCATCTGGCTGTAGATGTCCACATTCCTGCACCTGGTGCAGAGATCCTGGAGGTTAGACTCCTTGCCCATATCTCTATGAGATCCAGGATCTCCAGACCAGTACAGGATGGGGCTCTCTTCCATCTGTGGCCAGGGGCTTTAGAGGTGGCTGCTGGTGTGTGTGCAGTGATGGGGGCTCGGAAGGAGTGCTTAGGTCTGCCATGGCAGCCGTGCAGGCAGTGCAGGGTGCTGCTGTGTGGCACAAGTCTAGCAGGACCGGTTTGGTTTCACAAGCCCTTTCCCTTCTGCCTGCAGCTTTAAACCGTGCGGGAAAAGGGAAACTATAGAGTTTTGAGGAGTGTGGACAGAGTGCCAGTGTGAGAAGCCCTGGAGGCCAATTATTTTGAAATAAGCACAGCTGAATGTACACACTGATCCTATTTTGAAATAGCAATTTTGAAATAGGCGTTCTTCCTTGTAGAATGAGAGGTTATTATTTGTCTGTAACAAGCCCATTATTTTGAAATAATTTTGAAATAACAAGCTTGCTGTGTGGACACTTGCCTTGTTGTTTTGAAATAACATGAATTATTTTGAAATAACTCTGTAGTATAGGCATATCCTAAGAAGTATTGTTTTTGTTTCTTTCTTTCAAATATTGATAGTAAATATATTAAAGAAAGCCTAAAATAGATCATTAGTGCAGTGCTGCCTAATATTTCACAATCAGTGGAAGTTAAATACAAGAAAATAACAGCAATCTCATTTTGTTTTAGTACTTGGAGCAGCAGTAGCTGGCATGGCCGAGTCAAAGGAGGATTGAAGGGTTTTCAGAGCTTTATGGTTTCTGATAGTAATATGAGTTTTGTTGAGTTTGTAGAGCTCTTCAAATCTTTCAGGTAAAATCTATTTGTCTAATCACATCACATCAAAATTAGCAAAAGTATTTTAAGAAATAAAGCACAAAATGAACATTCTTCCTGTATGCTAGTGTTCGAAGCCGCAAGGATCTTAAAGACCTCTTTGATGTCTATGCTGTACCCTGCAATCGATCAGGATCTGATTCTACTCCACTTTATACTAATCTGAAAATTGATGAGAACACCAGTGGACTCCAACCTGATTTAGGTTTGTTAAATTTAATTTCAACAAGAAAATTAGACTTTAGAGAGCTGAACTATTTTAATTATTGACATTTTTTAAAAATTCTGATGAAGTGGGGGAGGCAGAATCAGGGTTTCAATTGACAAAGTGGATTGTCACAGCTCCAAAATGTCTCAGAATGAAAACTTCATATTTGGCCAAGTCAGTAATATTGGGCCAAATCCTGAAGAACTTATTCAACTCTTAATAAAGAAGGAATTCCGCTGATGTAAGTGGGAACCTTGCCTGACTATGACTTTGCTAAGAATTTCAGGAGTTAGTTATTGAAAAATGATTTTTCCAGTGAATACAATTGTTTTTTAATAGTTCAATGTGGTATGAATAATAAAATAGTACTCACCTAATTTAATTAAATATCTCTGAGTGATAAAATGAAACTCTTCAAATATTTATGTTCATATTTTGTCTTTTAGATTTATTGACCAGGAATGTTTCAGATCTGGGTTTGTTCATTAAGAGTAGACAGCAGCTATCAGAAAACCAGAGACAGATATCTGATGCCATTGCTGCGGCTAGTATTGTAACTAATGGAACTGGAGTGGAAAGCACATCACTAGGAATATTTGGAGTGGGCATCCAGCAACTCAATGACTTCTTAGTGAATTGCCAAGGTGAACACTGCACCTATGATGAAATCCTCAGTATTATCCAGGTTTGTAATACAAACATTTTGCAGTACATCTATTCATTCTATAGATGGCTTTGTTTCTTTCTTTTTCCATACATACGTTCTGTCTTTGTCTTCAGAACAGTACCTACTATGTCACCTATATAGAGATTGGATTTCCTCCTTTATAACCACTGCCAATTCTTATCCCCATAAAAGTTCTCTAAACAAGTGTACCAAATCATCCTATTGCGTGAGATCAGTGTTTCATTTCTACAGTGTGTCTTACCTCCTTTGTATATGGACAGTATGATCCATGTTGAGTTTTGTATCTATTGTATGTTATACAAATTTAATGGCTAGCTACCATAATGTAAATTTTGAGCCCTTTTTATATTTGTCTAATATAATCCAACATTAATTCTGTACTCTATAAGGTTTAACAAAACTTTTATTTTGAACATTTCAGATGTCAAGCAAGTGTGTGCAATATTCATTTACAATAGGGTTAAAAAATCAAGTTGTTGTGTTTTCGAATTCTGGTAAATACAAGTAGTTCTTCTTTGAGGAGTATTCCTGTGGGTGCTCCACTATAGGTGTCTTGGCACCCTGTGCTTATAATCAGAACTTTTTAGCAGCAGTTTGCCTGGGTGCTGGAGTACACGTGCAGTGCCGCTTGCACCATTGTGAGTGCCATCAATCGTCCCTCAGTTCTTTCTCAACTACTCCAGGCTTGGTCAGAACCCAGCAGCACTCCATGATTCTTTTTAGATAAGATAGTTGTTAGCTTTTTGTTGTTACTGTTTTTCCCTTAGTTTATTTGGGTACCTTCTCTTTTTTCTCTCCATTTTTCTCTCCTTTTCCCTTCCTATTCTTCCCATAGTTAGTTAGAGTAGTTATGAGAAACTCTCCTGGATTTAAGAGATGACTGACCTGCAGAATGTCCATCCCAATATCTGATGGACATGCCCAATGCATTAGATGCTTGGACCAGGAATACTCTCGACATAACTGCCATTATTGAAAAAAAGTTATCATCCAGGTCCCTTAAAGCCACAGATCTGCAATTGAAGCTCCTGACCTTGGAGAAGATGATGAGACCAGTGTTGGAGCTGGTGTCCCAACCCTCTCTATTGTGTATGTTCCTCACAGTGGTTTCGGACTAGGGGTCATTGGCATCGTAGGATCTTCCAGCTAAGAACACTTCCAAGAGAAAGCATTCTTCTTCCACAGCTGAGAGACCGACTAAAAAGATATCCCCTCAGCAGAAGCCTTCATTGGCACCTAAGGTGCAGGTACCTGGCATGTCCGGCATGGACAGACTCTGAGGGGCAGTGCCGAGTAAAGAAGCACGCCCTGCAGCCTCGACACTGAAGCTGAAGAAGACTGTATTGTCAGTACCGTCGACAACAGTGGCACTAAACCTGCGGTCCACTGCAGGGCTAAGAGCCACTCAGAATCATCTGCTCAAACCCCAATTAAGATGGCTCTGTGGCCGCGCACCGGCATCTCTCTGGTGCTGGCACCATCTAAGACTTGAGATAACTCTGCACCGCAGTGGGCACAGGTGACTGCACTATCAGTACGAGTATTTCCTCCGCCCCGTCTTTTAAATACACACTAGGAGCTGGTGGTCACATTGGTACCAGGCACACCACTCTTCAGCACCAATGCTAAACCTACTCTTGAAGGACGAAGTAGACTAGCTTCATCTTCAAGCTCAGCTTCACTGTTCTCCAGTGAGGATGAAGATAAAGAGGAAATGTTCCTTCTCCCCTCACCATTCCTTACTGAAACCATCTTCACAGCTGCAACAGCAACAGCAGCAAGGCCAGCCCCAGATGTGACAGCCATTTCCATGGTTCCCATCCATACCATTTCCATAGTCATGGCAGGGATAGGACCCCTGGGGCCCATTTAGAGCCCAGATGGCAACATCCCAGGCTGCAGCCCAGAGCAGGCCACGGTCAGTGATACCAAAACCACCAGTCTCTGCCAGATTGGATACCACACAAGAGGATGTTGAGGACCTGGAAGAAACACGGGAAAATGACATTCTTCCTCCATCACACATCTCGTCATCCTCTCCTGATGAGTCCATAATGCCCCCCTCCTCCGACTACAGGAGACAACTTTAAATCATTTCAGGACTTGCACAAAAGGGTAGCGGACTCTCTAGACATCTCCGTAGTAGAGGTGCCTCAAGAGCAGCACAAACTCGCAGATATCCTTCAGGCTTCCACTTCCTCCAGAATAGCCCTCCCCATCAATGAGGCTATATTGGATCCCACAAAAATTATTTGGCAGACCCCAGTCTCCATCTCACCAGCTTCTAAGAGGGATGACAGAAAATACTACCTGGCAGCCAAAGGTGCGGAATTCCGTTTTACCCACTTGGCTCCTAATTCCCTCATGGTGAAGGCAGCCCAGAGGCAAGCAAACCCACTTCAAGTCCACACTATACGATGAGGACTGGAAGAGGCTGGACATTCTGTATTCATCAGCATCACTACAATTCAGGATCGCAAATTACTTAGCCCTACTTTCAAAATATACGTATAATCTTTTTGATGGGGTGAAAACTTTTATTGAACATCTACTGGAGGATTACAAGACATCATTCAGGGCCAACCTTGACGAAGTAGCCCTCATAGCCAACCTTTACAAGCCTTGTTGGACTCTGCTGACCAAGCATCAAGATCCTTAGTGACATCTGTCGTCATGTGCAGGGCCTCCTGGCTGCACCTCTCTCGGTTCCCGACAGAGGTGCAAAATACAGTTGAGGACCTCCCTTTTGAGGGTCAGAAGTTATTCTCTGCAACTATGGATGCATCCCTGCATATGCTTAAAGATTCTCAAACCACACTCAAAACCTTGGATATGTATGACTCTCAGCCCAAGAAGAAACCAAACTGCCACTACACGCCTTGAGCTAGGTCCTTGTTCTACTCTGCACAATAGAGATAGGACCTGAGGCACCATCAGAGACAGCAGAAAAGGAGACAGACCCATAATCAAACTGCCGCATCCCAGCCTGCAAATTGGTCAACCCCCTTCCCTGTCCCTCTTCAGGGACCCCTCTCACGAGACTCTCCAGCAACAGGAAATAGACAAGCTTTTCCTAATGAGGGCAATAGAGGTAATACCATCAGCTCAGAGAGGAAAGGGCTTTTATTCTTAATACTTTCTCACTCCAAAAAAATCAGGAGGTTGGAAACCCATTTTGAGCCTATACAGGCTAAACAAGTACCTAAGATGACAACACTTTACCATGGTAATGCTGGCGAAGGGTAATTCCATCATTCGAGAAAGGAAACTGGATGTCGTCCCTTGACCTACAAGATGTATACTTGCATACTTCCACATCACAATTTGATCATCACATAGGAAATTCCTCAGATTTACCCTAAGAGACCATAATTACCAATCCCAGGACCTTCCCTTCGGACTATCCTCTGCTCCAAGAGTGTTTTAAAAAATCCATGCGGTGGCCATAGCCCACTTGAGGAGATCCGGAGTAATAATCTTTCCATATCTAGATGATTGCTTGACAATGGCTCCCAAGAGCTTACAGATAAACACCCAGAAGTCACATCTCATTCCATCCCAGGAGCTGGAATTTACAGGTGCAATGCTGGACTGCATACAGGCACAAGCCAGACTGCCGATACAGCACTTTCAGTCATTGGCCATACTGACCCAAACAGTCATCGACAGCCCCATGCAGCCTGACTACACCTGCAATTACTTGGCCACATGTTGGTGTCAACATACATGGTCCCTTATGTCAGATTGAACATGTGATGCCTTCAAGCATAGCTCCACACTTGCTTTCAACCACACAAGCACCACCTGAACTAGCTTCTCAGCCCACCCAAAGAGAATGAAAGAATCGCTCCACTGGTGGTTGCAAGCCAACAATCTTTGCAGGGGAAACTCATTCCAGCAACCTCCCTCCTCTGTATCCATAACTACAGACACTTCCCTGGAGGGCTGGGGTGTACACACAACCGAGAACAGCATTCAGGGAAGATGGTCTCCTTCAGAATCAGCATTCACAACATTTTAGAGCAGGGATAGGGAACCTAAGGCCTAGGGGCCAGATGCAACCCCTGGCTTGCCTGGATCCAGCCCCTGAGGCTTGGGACTCCTCCCTAGTATTGGAGATCCCATGTTGGTTCTTTAAACCTTCCCCCTCTCCCATCCCTCTGTGGGGATGAAGCATACAAAATCTACTAGCCTGGGGCCCCTTAGGCTCGGGTGCATGAGGGGAATGTGGGGAGTGTCTTTCGCCTTTTCAATGGGGGGCGGCATATCAATGAGGGTTTGTTTAGCAGGGGTTTTGCTTCTCACTTGTATACGGCCCCTGAATGTTTTTTCTGTGGGTCAGCAGCCCCCAACCCAAAAAAAGGTTCCCACCTCTGTTTTAGAGCTGCAGGCAGTCAGAAAATACTGTGAATATTTTCTTCTCCTGATTTGTGGCAAGTCAGTGAAGATACTCACAGACATCTCAGGTTGCATGTTTTATATAAATCAGCAGAGTGGAGCCAGGTCCTACCATCTGTACAAAGGGGCTATAGCCTTGTGACAATGGTGCATTCATGTGAACATATTGGCAGTCTACCTCCCAGGAAAAGAGAACGTGACCGCGAACCATCTGAGCTGACTATATCATCAGAAATATGAGTGGGAGATCTACCCTAAAGTCCTGCATTCTGTCTTCCAGAAGTGGGGTTTGTGGACACAGACTTATTCACTACGGCTGTGTCCAGACTCAGGGGTTTTTTCGAAAAAAGTAGCCTTTTTTCAAAAAAACTTCCCCTGCGTCCAGACTCAAGCTGCGTTCTTTCGAAATTAATTCGAAAGAACGCGGCTTTTCTTTCAATGGCGGTAAACCTCATTTCACGAGGAAGAACGCCTTCTTTCGAAAGTTCCTCTTTCGAAAGAAGGCGTTCTTCAATGTAAATAGGGCTTCTTCAAAAGAGAGCATCCAGACTCACTGGATGCTTTCTTTCGAAAAAGCAAGCCGCTTTTTCGAAATTTCTCCGTGCAGTCTAGATGCTCTCTTTCGAAAGAGGCTCTTTCGAAAGATGCTTTCGAAAGAGCCTCTTTCGAAAGAAGCCTGCAGTCTAGACATAGCCTACATTTCTCAATGCAAAATGCCCTAAGTACTGCTCCAGAGTGGATCTGGGCAAGAACTCCATGGAAGATGCCATGCTGGTCAATTGGGCTCACAACCTAGCCTGCACGTTTCCACCTCTTCCACATCTCGACAGGGTGATACAGAAAATAAGGCAGGACAGGTCCAGAGTCATTCTGATAGTGCCTGCCCGGCCCAGGCAGACCTGGTTTCCTTACCTGTCACAGATGTCAGTTGCTCCTCCAATTCATCTCCCGCAGTTGATAAACCTCCTGTCCCAGGATCAGGGTCACATTCTCCATACGGATGCTAAAAGACTCCATCTCAAGGCCTGGCTCCTGCAGGATTGACTATGCATGACCTTAGCTATTTGGAAGAGGTCTGTATCTTAATCATGAACTGTTGTAAAGAGAGCATTAGGAAAATCTATGCTCAAAAGTGGCACCATTTCCTTGTGTGGGCCATTCACAAGGCACTTCCACCTCACACAGTACTGCTACCGATTGCTGGAATGCCTTCTTTCTTTGAAGAAACAGAATCTTTCTTACTCATCAGTTAAAGTACACTTGGCAGCTATTTCTAGTGAACATTGCTCCACACTATTTTTTCTCGCCCGATTATGAGAAAGTTCTTGAAAGGCCTCTATAATGTCTTCCTCTCTGTGAAACACGTTGCTCCATCCTAGAATCTGAACTTTATCCTTAGCACCTTGACTGTTTCCTCATTCAAACCAATGGTGACGTGGTGGTCTCTATCACACCTTTCCATGAAAGTTGCCTTTCTATTGGCTGTCACCACAGCAAGAAGGATTAGCAAGCTCATCACACTCATGGCTAACCCTCCCTTTATAGTTCTATAAGGACAAAGTGACCTCACCCAAAATTTCTTCCTAAAGTGGTTTCCCAGTTCCACCTCAAGGAATCCTTATACTTACCTGTTTTCTACCAGAAGCCTCATCCAGACACCAACATGGCTTGCCTCCACTTCTGCCGAGCTATCACCTTTTATTTGGAAAGAACAAAACAGTTTAGATGTTTCTTGAGGTGTTTTCTTTCCATATCAGATCACTCTAAAGGACAAGCGATTTCCAAACAGAGACTTTTCAAATAGGTATCAAATTGCATCAGAGCCTGTTATGCGATCAACAGTTTCACCTCCAAAGCAATCACGTGCCCACTCCACCAGATCAGTGGCTGCTTCTACAGCTGTCTTGCATAATGTGCCTGTCTTTGATATTTGTAGGGCTGTGACATGGGCCTCTATACATACATTTACAAAACACTATGCGATAGATAGCTATGCCACACAATGCACTAAGTTTGGAACGGCGATCCTGTCCGCCACATGCAAGTCAGATCCAAAGCCCCTCCTTCCAAATTCTCAGGGCACTGCCCCATAGTCACTGATAGTGAAGTGCCCATAGGGAAACTCCTCAAAGAAGAAAAAAGAGGTTACTCACTCACTTCTTTGAGATTGGTGTTCCTGTGGGTGCTCCACTACCCTCCCTCCTCTCCACTGCTTTGGAGTTGTAACATCTCTTCTCAGTAGAAAAGGAACTGAGGGACAGTTGACGATATGCGTGTGTTGGCACACCCGCTATAGTGCGAGCAGCAGCATGTGCCAACACCCAGGGGTACTGCTGCTAAAAAGTTCCGATTATAAGCCCCTGGGGGCCAGTGGAGCATCCATAGGGACACCCGTCTCAAAGAACACCAGTTACTGCACAAGGTAAGTAACTTCTTTTTTATTTACTTTTAGACTATGGCACTATTATGTATAAGAATAAGAACATGCATGATTTTAAACAATACTCTAGATCAGTGTTTCTCAAACTGTGGTCCCTCCGCAAGACATCTCCAGGGGCTCCGCAAGGTTGACAAACTGGAAACATTGATAGGTACAACATATACAATCAGTGGACCACTGGGGCTCCGCATACATTTTTACACGTGTAAAGGGCTCCGGAGCCCAAAAAGTTTGAGAATCGCTGCTCTAGATCAACATTCTACATATTTAGCTCTACTGTATTATTCATTTTACATATTTCATTGTGTTTGCCAACTCCCATAACTACTATCAATACAGCAAAGACACTTCTGAATGATATTCAGGCTGTATAAATACATTTTTCAGATGCCAGCTCATGAGTTATATGTACAAACTACATTGTAAAAACTGGATTAAAGCCGTTTACCTAAAGAATGCTTCTTCTGATCAATATAATGTCATTCTTTTACTGTTTCTTACAGAAATTTGAACCCAGTGTCACTATGTGCCAGCAGGGGCTACTATCATTTGAAGGATTTGCAAGGTAATTAACGATGTATGAAGTTAACATACATGTGATGTTATTTGTGTGCATTTTGCTAAATATTCATCTCCAACTATTATTTCTGCGCTTTTAGGTTTTTGATGGACAAAGACAATTTTGCTTCAAAAAATGATGAGTCACAAGAGAATGCTGAAGAGTTGCAACTACCACTATCATATTATTACATTGAGTCTTCACACAATACTTACCTCACAGGCCATCAGCTTAAAGGAGAATCCTCAGTAGAGCTTTACAGCCAGGTACAGAGAGTTAGACCATTGCATTGTTTTCAGAATGAATTTGTTTGTTTAATTAAGAAGTCACAAAAACATGGCCTTTTTGTTTGAAAACCCAAATGTTCTGAGCCCCTGCTTATAAAACATAGGAAAACATGATGTGTGGGAAAGCTGCCTGTGTGCACAGTTGTGCTCAAATGCTTTTACTAAGGCAAAAAAAATGGCTTAGCTTGAGATTCACAGCAGTTAGACACTAGTCATTCTGACCTAACTTACTAAAATTAGACTTTCCCACAGGAAAGACTGATCTATTATGTTAGTTCGTTTAAATGTCAAAACACCATTCAGATATTATACATTGTACTGTACTGAAAAGACAAATTTCTAATGAAAACATCACTCCTGACAATATACTTCTAGGAATATTAAACTATTTATCAAACATTTTGTCTGATTGGTAATGAACCTGGAAAGACTGATTTCTTTTTATGGGTTTTGAGTGTATATTTTTATATGTATATTCAACAAATGTTGCAGAAAACATGAAACTTCCTGTTATTGGGATTTTTAATATTAACATGTTAAAGAGAAATTTCATTCAAGTGTGACAGGCAACCACAAGGCCCTCTGTACAAGTTCAGCTCTTTGCCCATGTTTTTAGGGGTGGGCATGTGGACTGCATGTGAGAAGGGCATGAGTAAAGTGGCTGCATGGTGGTACTATGGAGCAAATTTCTATGACAGCCTGACATATGAGGACAGTGTAGGGGGAGATGGGATAGACATTCATTGTCCATAACACCCGAAGTGATGTGAAAGAGCTGCAGGCACTCTTCCAGCAGCCCATTGGTTAAAATAATAGTTTATGAGGTGAGATAGGAATACTTTTGAACCCTTGTTTCACTGGCTCCTGTGTGGGTGAGGGTGCTCCCTCCACTGACATAATGTACTTCCACTGTTTAAGGCTTTGAGCAGGATAAGTGAATTTCATCCCGATCGTATATGTGTTTTATCTGAAGTTATACTGATTCCAGAAACCTGTAGCCCAGAAGGTTCTCTTGCAGTGGCCCACCTCCGTGCTGGATAAAGTATCTGTGTAGATTATCTACTTGTTTCTGCAGGCAGAAGATGTAATTATTTCTCTCCCTTCAGAAGCCCTTTCAGAGCCACTTTTTGCAAACATGACAGGCTTCTTACCCTTATGAGCTTGGAGAGCCTGGGGCTATCCAATCCCGACTAGAAGCAGGTTGGGTTGAATCAGGTGATTCCGTGTAACAGATGGCTGTATTGAAGGGGGAGCTCAGGGAACTGCAGGAAGAAGTAAAGGGAGGCAGGTTTCTGCAGTGACGACCTTGATACCAAGTGATTTGGAAGCCAGAAACATAAGTTCCAGCTACGTAAGACTTGGGGGTGGCTTGCTAAACCAGGTAAAGTTCTAGAGAGCAGTGCCTTTTAATAGGGTGAATTGAAGACTGCTGTGATGATCAGGATTCAGCAGAAAGACCTAGATCCTAGGACATGGAGTTTCCCTGCTGAGAGTATGTCATCTCAACAGAAAAAGACCCACAGCAGCAAGTCTTGAAGCCCAGGTCAACTCAGTATGGGAGGAAGGGTCTTTGATCCTAGGCACCAACCTGAGCCCAAACATCTACACTGCTGTTTTTAGCCCCATAACACAAGACCAAGACAATTAACGTGGGCTCCTAGACTTGCTGCTGGGGGAGGGAGGCGGAGATTGTTTATTTTTGTTTCTTTTCTGTGTAGTTTTCTTTCCTGATTCCCCCCATAGTTGTAGTCTAAGGCTACAGGCAGGAAAAGCCTTGGAGTGATCTGAGGCGGGTAAAACAGGTGCACTGTGTTTTGAGACTTTGAGTTTTATATTGGAGATTTATTTATGTGAACAAAATCAATCCCCTTTAAAAGGATGATGAATGGACAAGAAAGTCCTTTGCAGAGTTTGTTTTTAGAAGACTTATGAAGGAGAAATTGTAAGCAGAGTCTCAAAGAAGTACTCTTAGTTGGGCTTGAAGAGCTGCATGGAAGAAAGCCGACCCCACTCAGCAACCAGATTCCCATTTTTTCTGCTTCCGGAACAGTGCTGGTAACTTCTGGAATTTCTGTTTCTAATGGTAATCTTTCTGTTTAATTCTTGCTTTCTAATAGTGTTTTTCTTGCTCTTTGTGTGTGTATGTGTGTGGGATCCAACCATAAGGAAGAGTAGCTTCAATAGTTTCCTTTCACACCACACTAGAGCTTATCCAAGCTGCCATTTAGCACTGCTACCCTCTTTTTCATCTTTGTTTTTGTACAATTGCTGTTCCCATAAATCTATTATTCATTTGTGTTATAGGTTCTCTTACAAGGCTGTAGGAGTGTGGAATTAGACTGCTGGGATGGCGATGATGGGATGCCTATCATTTATCATGGACATACTCTCACTACTAAGATCCCTTTTAAGGTATATTGACAATTTCATGCGGAAAATAGACATTAATCAAGAAAGAATTTTAATCATTTGTTCACTTGTATGAAGATACCAGTTTAATAAGCACCAATTACCCTTCTAGAATAAAGCATGGTACTTAGAGTTTGTGTACTTCGCAGTTAGACACCTATGGCTGGCTCATGCCAGCTGATATGGGGTTGTGGGCTCAGCCTAAAGGGGCTGTTTATTGCAGTGTAGACATTCAGCTTTGGTCTACTGCCTGAGCTCCAGGACCCTCCCATCTAGTAGGATCCTAGGACCGAGAGTCCAGTCCCCAGTCTGTGGATATATCTACACTGCGCGTGGGAGCTTTCTACCCAGCACAGATACAAAGACACATGCTAGCATTGCTCATGGAGTAACCAAGGGTAGCACAGGCAACAGCTTGCACTAGCTGCTTGTGTAGAGCCCCAGGTTTGTACTCAGATGACTAGTCTAAGCCAGCTACACTAATATTTTTACTGTTCTAGCTCAAGCAGAGCTAGAGTGTGTCTGTCTGCCTATGCTAGAGAGCACTAATAGTGCTACCCTAGACCACACTAAACGGATTACCACAGACAATATAAAATCATATTGTATTTTGAATCATGGAATCAATATTCAGAAAAAATCAACTATAAATATTTGGTTTTTCAAATTAGAAACCTCTTATAACATTTACAGTTTGGTTTTTGTAGGATGTAGTTGAAGCTATTGATCGCAGTGCCTTTATCACCTCTGATATGCCAATCATCATATCTATAGAAAATCACTGTTCATTGCCACAGCAACGCAAGATGGCTGAAATTTTTAAGGTTAGTCATAGTGTATTATATTAATCAAAGTGCGTGGCCAGAGATTTTGTTTTTCATGTTATTTCAAATGTTATTCTCGACATTTCAGAATGTATTTGGAGATAAACTGGTAACTAAGTTTTTATTTGAGAGTGACTTCTCTGATGATCCAATGCTCCCTTCACCGGACCAATTGAGGAGAAAAGTGCTTTTGAAAAACAAAAAACTCAAAGCCCATCAAACTCCAGTGGATATTTTAAAACAAAAGGTAAAGTATTTTCCTAACACATATTCAGAGCTTTAAGTTGTGGTTTGGAAAAATCTGTTTTTGAAATTCTAACTTACCTGGAACATAAGAGGTGTTCATATCAGCATTACCTGGAGTTTTAGAGATTACTGGAGGAGATTTAAATTCATTCATGGAACCATAGATCATGGTAAATAAACTATTTTGAGAGATGGGAAGAGTTTAGGTCCATCAGAGTTTTGGAGCTTTTGTAAATATAAAAGTTCCCAGTCAAACCATTTATAGTTAAACCACTAACTCCCCATAAGGATATGCTTATTCCAAAATAAGTGTTCTTTAGGGGGGGTAGGTTTGTTTTGTTTAAACTGCTTCCAAAGTGTCATAAAATAAACCAGAAAAAGTACTCTTATATTTGAATAACAGTGGGCACATGGGGATTTACACCTGTGTAACTATAGATGTGTAATTCACACTTCATGCCTTTATAATGAGTCCTGCAAAACCGCAGATATACCTTTTATACCTTATTTGTGCAGATATGAATGCAGATGCATATACAAAATTTATATTTGGAACCCTGCAAATTTGTGGATATCCACTTTATATCCACGGGTACCTGCATCCATGGATGTGAATGTATATATCTGTGGTTCATTTTTGCAGATGCAGATGTGGATACAAATTTTGTGTCCACGCAGGACTCTAGCTACTTTCCTCTTTAAAAACCAGGATTCTGAACAAGCATCATATGAATAAGAATATTATAAAAAGAGCTTTTTTGCTGTTTCAATATTTGAGTGCTTTAAAAATATTTTAATGTTCTAGGCTCACCAGCTGGCATACATGCAAGCCCAGGCCAGTAATGGTGGCAATGCTGGTAACCCTGCCACTAATAATGAAGAGGAGGAGGATGAAGAGGATGAATATGATTATGACTATGAATCTCTTTCTGATGGTAAAGAAATATGCTATTACAAAGCTATTCTTAGGCAATTCTTGGTTTATGAAGTTTTTTCATATTGATGACTGACTTTAATCTGTTTAAATTTGTACCAAATGACTGGAGGATAGCCAATGTGCCACAGATTTTTAAAAGATGATCCTGGCATTACAGGCCGGTAAGTCTAACTTCAGTACTGAACAAATTGGTTGAAACTAGTGTAAAGAACAGAATTGTCAAACACACAGATGAACATAATTTGTTGGGAAAAAGTCAACATAGTTTCTGTAAAAGATCATGTCTCACCAAGCTACTAGAATTATTTGAGGGGGTCAACAAGCATGTGGACAAAAGGGATCCAGTGGATATAGTATACTTAGGTTTCCAGAAAGCTTTTAACAGGATCTCTGTCCAAAGGCTCTTAAGCAAAATAAGCTGTCATGGGATATGAGAGAAGGTCCTCTCATGGAATGATAACTGGTTAAAAGATAGGAAAAAAGAGATAGGAATAAATGGACGGTTTTCAGAATGGAGAGAGGTAACTAGTGGTTTTCCCCAAAGGTCTGTACTGGGACCAATCCTATTCAACATATTCATAAATGATCTGGAAAGAGGATTAAACAGAGATAGTTAAGCCCAAAGCAGACTGTGAAGAGCTTCAAAAGGATCTCAGAAAACTCGGTGACCAAGCAATAGAATGGTACATGGACTTTAAATGAGCAATGCTTGTTAATAGGGTGAACTGGAAACTGCAAAGTAAATGCATATTGGAAAACATAATACCAATATAAAATGATGGGGACTAATTTAGTGTTACCACTCAAAAGAGAGGTGTTGGAGTCATTGTGGATAGTTTTCTGAAAACATACATTCAATGTGCAGCAGTAGTAAACAAATCAAACACAATGTTAGTAATCATTAAAAAAGGATAGAGAATAAAACAATATCTTATTGCCTTTGTATAAATCCATGGTATGCCCACATTTTGAATACTGTGTGCAAATGTGGTCATCTCATCTCAAAAAGATATCTTGGCATTGGAAAAGGCTCAGAAAAGGGCAACAAAAATTATTAGGGGTATGGAATGGCTGTCATATGAGCAGAAATTAATAAAACTGGGACTTTTCATCTTAGAAAGAGGAAACTAACGAAGGATATGATAGTGGTGGAGAAAGTATATAAGGAAAAGTTATTTACTCTTTTCCCTAACACAAGAACTAGGGGTCACCAAATGAAATTAATAGGTAGCAGGTTTAAAACAAACAAAAGGAAGTATTTCTTCACACAACAAACCGTTAACTTGTGGAACTCCTTATCAGAGGATGTTGTGAAGACCAGGACTTTAACTGGGTTCAAAAAAGTACTAGATAAATTCATGGAGGAAAGGTCCATCAGTGGCTATTAGCCAGGATGAGCAGGAATAATGTCCCTGGGAATGGCCAATAGTGGATAGATCACTTGATGACTACCTATTCTGTTCATTCCCTCTGGGGCACCAGGCATTGGCCACTGTTAGAAGACAGGATACTGGGCTAGATGGACATTTGGTCTGACCCAGTATGTCCATTCTTATGCTCTCGTGCTTCAGTTAGAATAGATCAAACAAGATGTAGTGAAACATTTGTATGAGAAAATAAGTCTGTTCCACATTTTAAGTATTTGTTACTGTATGATCAAGTATCACTTAAAATGAATAACTTATATAGATTCTAAATTACCTAAAAATAATAGCATAAAATGAATTAAAAAGTAATATATTTTACATGAATGTCTGCTTTCTTTGAGGGTTTTGACACCTGAGCGTGCATACATTCTTCATTTAAATTCCTTTCCCTAAGGGCTGAAGAGTGGCCTGGCTTGTGCATAAGGAGGCAAGGGGGCATAAAGATTTCCTTACTATCTTGCCACAAGCTTCATGGATAGCAGCACAGGAGGGGAAGCAAACTTTGCAGAGCCAAGATATAACTGTGGCATGCTTTACTTCTTTAATATACAAACGGGCAAGGAATGGAAAGACCCTTGGCTCCATCTCTCCAGATCTCCTGATAGCATCGATGTACCTGGGTATCTGATGGCTTATGTTGCATTGGATATAGGCCTGGCACAGTTTGCTCTCTTAGTAGAAGTAGTAGGGAAATTGTGAGGAGATTTTGACTTTTCCTCCTTGACTACTCTAAGGGCAGTGCCACAACACCAAGACCCTTGTTCAGGTCAGATATTACAGTTACAACTTAGTCCTGAGTGTCCATATATGTTTATAAGTACAGGCAGTCCCCGGGTTACGTACAAGATAGGGACTGTAGGTTTGTTCTTAAGTTGAATCTGTATGTAAGTCGGAACTGGCCAGTTCTGACTTACATACAGAATCAACTTAAGAACCCCAGGCGTCCCCAAGTCAGCTGCTGCTGAAACTGATCAGCAGCTGATTCCAGGAAGCCCGGGGCAGAGCAACTCTGCCTGGGGCTTCCTGTAGTCAGCGCTGGTCAGTTTCAGCAGAAGCTGACTTGGGGACGGGAAATAAGACTTTGTTAACTGTTATACAGAGGGTTAGCAGTTTTCCTGTTGCACTAGATGTCATTCTGCCAACTTCAGTGCTGTTCCAACTGAGTTATCAAAGTCACATGAGAAAGGCTCATGTCCCAATCTGGTCTTTCCAGCTTTTGAATATACTGACCAGTACATTCCCAGAGCAATTTATACCTTGACCAGAAATGAATGCAACGAAGCACTGTGCAGTCCAGCACTTCTTACTTCTTTGAGTGGCAAAGAGAGTGCGAGAATCTGTCCTTTGCCAAGTGTTGCTAATCAATAAGCCTTCATTGAAGGCTTGACAGTGGGTTCCTGGCCTTGGTAAAGTAGGTTGCCAGGATGCTGGCTTCACTGTTGCTCCAGTTGGGGAGGGGGAGGGAAAGACGAGCATGGTCGCTCCTTCCTGCTTGCAGCCAGGATAGTGTTTGGAATGGAAGATGGACAACTACTGGGAGAGAAAATGAGAGAATCCTGTTAAACTTTACATAGCTCCATTGACCCAAACCTTCCAGTGACATTGGTGTAGATTCAAAGAATTTCCATCTTGTCTATAGCCCTGTCTAAGCAAGAAGGTAAAGGTGGTTTTGTTTTTCAGCTGAGTTATCCTAAAATGTCTGGGGCACTAACACAGACACCATTAGACACCTTCTTGAACCCTCTATAGCCTAGAGCAGTAGTTCTTGAACTTTAGCAACTCGAGGACCCCCATTTTGAATTAAAACGTGTATGCACTAAGATGAATATGAAGCTCGAAACCCAAAGCCTTCAAAGATTTATTTGTTAGCTTAATCTGATGTACTATCAGGCATCCTACTGAAGTCAATGTCAGTGTGTTAAGAAAGCCTTTGCCGGTGTTTGGCCTAATACTTCTTTCTGAGGTGTTTGGTGCAAAAACATTCGGATGCTTTCCTACACTGAACATGTGTAATATAACCGGGTCTGGGAGCACCACTGAGAGGGCCAAATCAGGGTGAATTGCTTAGAAATAAGGCTACTTACAGCCCAAGTCTGGGGTCCATCCTCTATCACAACAAACACTTCAGCTGCCACTCTGGCCAGCAAGAAGTCACACAAGCAAAGCCTCAGAGGCGCGGGGAACCGCCGCTGCTGCCGCTTCAATCTGGGTGCCTGTGGTCTGCTGGCAAAGCCTCAGAAGCGCGGGAACCCGCCCGGTGCCCCTGGTCTGCTGGAGACGGTCTCCAGCAGACCAGGGGCACCGGAGCAGCTTACGAACGGGGCTTTCTCGCCCCGACTTCCGGGGCGAGAAAGCTCCGTTCGTAAGTGCGGATCCGACATAAGTCGGATCCGCGTAAGTCGGGGACTGCCTGTATGCCATTGTTGTCATTAATAAGTACGGTTTGGGCCTCCCTTAAGTGGAAGACTCTGGTGTGGCAACTGGACCATGTATGTCCGTGGACCAGATAGTCCCGGAGCCAGGAACCTAGTGGCAGTGAGCAGGTGTCTGGGAGCTCCGGCAGCACCAGGCGGTATCTAGCAGCCCCAGCCAAGACAGTGGCAGTGGACCCACCATCCCACAACAGTCTCGGCTGGGGTTGGCAGTAAGGTTACGTCTAGACTGCAAGCTTCTTTCGAAAGAAGCTTTTTTGAAAGAGATCTTCTGAAAAATCTTCTTTCGAAAGAGAACAGTCCAGACTTAAAAAGAAGATCAAAAAAGCCATCTGCTTTTTCAAAAGAGAGCGTCCACACTCATTGGACACTCTCTCACATAAAAGGCCACCAGGAACCACTTCTGGCAGGGCATTAGGTCAGCAGTTACTTCCGAGAGCTGTTGCCTAAGGCTATGTGAGATGCGTGCTTAAAGGGACTCCCCTGGAAAGCCATTTCTCAGATTCTGCTGCTTGCTTGCCCACCTCTCTGAGGGACAGCAAAGCTTTTGCAGTGCATGCTTTGGTTTCCCAGCTTTGTTGAATGCCATGGCATTTCTTTTCTTATTTTGCCATGGAGCCAGAGCTGCCCCTGGGCAGGCGATGGCCCCACACAGTGATGCTGCAGCTTCTGCAGCAGTTTCAGCAGACCGTAATGACTGTCCTGCCCCAGCTCGAATCTGAGCTCATCATTGAAAACCTCTGCCTGGATGCGGGAGCAATGCCCCTGTACCTCATGGTTGTGATACGATTTTGGAGTCTGGACACCAGTTCCGACTGGTGGGACCACCTTGTGATGGAGTGGTGGGACAACCAGCAGTGGCTCAGCAACTTCCGCATGCAGAAGACCACCTTCTTGGAGCTGTGTGCCTGGCTCACCCCTGCCCATTGACGACAGCACACGCACCTGCAGCCCGCCATCCCCCTCGAGAAGAAGGTCACAATTGTCGTGTGGAAGTTTGCCACCCCCAACAGCTACTGCTCGGTAGGACACATTTGGCATAGGGAAGTCCACCGTTGGGGTCCTCTTTATCGAGGTAAGGCACTCTTGGGGTACACTCCCTCTGGGGGGAGGCCTGTAAAAGGGAGACCTTCGGGAAAGGGGAGGGGGAGTGGGAGGTGCAGTAGGGGTGGGGTTGGTTGTGCCGTCCCGGCCTCACATAGCCCTGCTGCTGGGCAAAAGGCCTCATAGGAGTGTTTGGGGGCAGAGGCGGGGGACGGGCACTGCCCAGGTGCTCAGGCACGCCCTCTCATTCTCTTTTTTGTGTGTTTCTATGTCTCCTTCTTCAGGTGGTGAGGGCCATCAACTCCATCCTGCTGCGCAGGGTCATCCGCTTTGGAGACCTGGACCTCATCGTGGCCAGATTTGCTGCCCTTGGATTCCCAAACTGGGGAGGAGTGATCGATGGGACACATATCACAATCTATGTACCACGCCATCGAGCGGCCCAGTATATTAATAGGAAGGGCTATTTCTCAATGGTGCTGCAGATCCTAGGGACAGTTTTCAGACATTTTTGTAGGGTGGTCGGGCCGGGCACACGATGCCTGCATATTTAGGAACTCTAGCCTGTACTGCAAGCTGCAGGCTGGAAGATTCTTCCCCCAGTGGGACTTTGCGGTTGGGGACATGCAGATGCTGATTTGCATCGTGGGGACGCAGCCTTCCCATTGATGCCGTGGCTCATGAAGACCTACACTGGCCACCTGGACCTGAGCAGGGAACAATCTAACATGTATCTGAACCACACTCGCCTGCAGGTGGAATGCGCCTTTGGGTGCCTTCGGGCGCCTCAAGGTTTGGTTCAGATGCTTGCTGCCGCCTCGATGTTGGGGAGTGCAACATCCCTGAGGTGGTCTCTGCCTGTTGTGTGCTTCACAGCTGGGTGGAGAGCAAAGCAGAGGCCTTCCTCCTGGGGTCGGGGACAGAGGCTGGTGGCAAGGGGAAGCTGTTTGAACAGCCCTGGATAGCTGCCATTTGCCAGGTTCATTAGGCCAGGGTGCACATCCAGGAGTCCCTGAGGGAGAGGTTCTCTGAAGGAGCCCAGTAACTCTTCCTAGGGCCGCCTCAATGGGGGCTTGTGCCTTGCCCCCCAAAACCTTGCCCCCCACAATCCTTCCCTGTACAATTAATAAACACACCAGTTTTAAAAAGATGTGTTTTATAATACAAGTAACTGGGACAGAGGGGGGCTGAGAACCTGGAGCGGGGAGGGAGGAAAGGGACTCAGAACCTGGAGGGGGACTGAGAACGAGGAGAAGGGCTTGGGGCTGGGAGTGGCACATTGAGTGGCCTGCAATTGCTGTCTCAGGTCTGGGGACCTTGACGGACTTAGGGTTAGGTGGAGCTTGGGATAACAGGTGGCTGGGCAGGAGGGGGAGCTGCAGTGGGGTCAGGGATGATCCCAAGGGTGCCAGACTAGGGAGGTCCAAACTGTAGTGATTTTTGTGCTGAGTTAAATCATGATGCCAACATTCAAACCATTTTTCAAGGACAGATTTCAGAATACATGCAGAACATTCTTCTACTGAGCGTAGCCATTGGGGGGGCCAGGACATGTTCCTGAAGTCAGTGAAGTTACACTAGAAATGAGTTGTCTCAAGACATTCAAAAGTGATGTTAGTTATCAACTATGAAACTATCTGAAAATGTGGCATGTCAAGATACATCACGACTGGTTGCCAAATTCATATCACCCAGAGAAATGGCAAAGGAATCAAATATTTTGTTTATTAAAACCTAAAAGGCCAGATAGTGCCTGGCCTTTACATAGGAGATTAAGTTAGGAAAGGCACAAAGCTCAGCAGTTCCTCTGTCTAGTACAGTCTTATGTTTAAGTGGCACAGCAAAACCTTTCACAAATGAAATGTATTATTTTTCTGTTGGTGATGATGATAGTCACAAAATAAAATGTATTAAGATAACTTTTAATGACTACTTCTGATTTTCCTAAGATGAATATGAAAATGGGTCAAATTCTGGTGCCTTCTGTAACCACTTTGTGCACAAAAATTAGAAAAATTGCTTAATTTTCTGCTTGAAGATTCTCCCTGTGTAGCAGAATCTCCAGGTAGCATAGATGAAAATATGCTGTTCAAGTGCAGATGTTTCTTACATATTAGCCAGGAACAAATTACAAATTGCCCACTGTAAGTTGTCCTTGAAACACGTTCCAGTAGGAGAAGATTGGAAAAATCAGAAGTCAACAAATTTTGCACAGTGCAGTACAAAATGTTATCTGTGGCATGCTTTACTGCTTTAATATAATGGTTATACTGTTGGTTGGTTTAACTATTGTAATATTTGGTAGAACTAATCTAAATAATCAACTTTAGAAGATTTCACTTTTCATTTTTAGCAATGCTGCAGTTTTGCATAATGCTTGTAGTTTAAAATTGAGTCTTAATTTTCATTTTTTCTGGCTGTATTTCTTAATTTCCTTTACTCTTATCCCTTTTCTGACTCTGTTTTCCTATAGCTGATGTCCTTAATGCTTCTCCTGCTCCTAACAGCCAGGAAGGTAAAAGCCTTAACTGCATGAATTTCAGCACTGTGTCTCCAACTTAAGTGTTGTATGTAAATATATGATACCTCCTTTGTATTAATAGAAAATACATGCAAATTGTGTCATTATACATTAGTTACTAGGTATCATTGTCAAGCTGCATATGAAACCTTGTTTATTCATAAAGAAACTGTCATCAAAATATTTATATTTCATTAGCTACTGACACACTTAGGAGGTTTTATTTATCTACACAAGCACACTCACACTAAACAAAAATGTCTTCCATTGTGACAGTTGTGCCATTTTTCTACATCACTCTATTTTGGGGGACCAATCAGGGTAAATTTCTAGCACGTACATGAGATTCCTTTTCATGGAGAAGAATGCCTCAGGCATCTAGGAAGAGTTTGTATATGGAATGGAGGATAGCATGAGAATTGAAGGACACCAAATGAAATTAATGGGTAGCAGGTTTAAAACTAATAAAAGAAAGTTCTTCTTCACACAGCATGTAGTCAACCTGTGGAACTCCTTGCCAGAGGAGGCTGTGAAGGCTAGGACTATAACAGAGTTTAAAGAGACGCTAGATAATTTCATGGAGGTTAGGGCCATAAAAGGCTATTAGCCCGGGGACAGAAATGGTGTCCCTGGCCTCTGTTTGTCAGAGGCTGGAGAAGGATGGCAGGAGACAAATCACTTGACCATTGTTTTCAGTCCACCCTCTCTGGGGCACCTGGTTCTGGACAGGCTACTGGGCTAGATGGACCTTTGATCTGACCTAGTACGGCTGTTCTTATGTTATGTTATGTAAGTCTGAAATGTGAAGATACCTTTTTAAAATTATGATTACTGGCTAACTACTGATTACTGACTAAACAGTATTAAATGATAAATTTCTGCAATTCAAAATGTTCAAAAATATCACCTCTAAAATATGTTTGGTGGCAAGCTAATGCTTCTTTGCTTCTTGATTTCCAAAAGAAAATGTGGAATATTTTAACTCATATTTTAATAAATGATTTTCTGGTTTTAATATCTACTGAACAGAAAAGACAGAGTAGAAGGGTTCATAGAAGAGCCACATGCTAACATGAATCAATTTTTATTCTTTTAAAAAGAAATGAAGGACAAAAACTTTAACTTCTGTAAATACATTATTTTTACCAGCTGGTTGCTTAGACATGAAACTAGGTGCTTTATCCAAAACAACTGGTAGTTGAAATAAAATCTGCAGTTAATTGTTGGCTCACACATTGTTTACCTATAATACATTTCTAGATAACATTCTGGAAGACCGACCTGAGAATAAATCATCCAGTGATAAACTGCAATTTGAATATAATGAAGAAACTGCCAAGAGAATTAAGAAGACTGATTGCATTACTTACAACAATAAAGGAAAGGTTGTACTTTTTCTTTTCTTTTCTCCAAAACATTTTTATTTGGATCTAGCTTCAAAAAGAGTTTGATTTGCTCAGGTGACTGCGCTATCACATGGCAAATGCACTTGAAAGTAGACAAATAACTGGAAGCAGGGGAGGAAAGGTGAATGAAACAAACATCCAGCATCCAGGTCAAGAAAAGGATTCAGAGGTTATTCTGGACACAACATTGAACTCATTAGACCAGTTTGCAACCTCAATAAAAATGAGCAAACAGGTTTGAAGGCTGTGATCTAATGCATATTGGAGTCATTAGAAGTCTTTCCACTGGCTATAATGGGCTTGGGATCAAGTCCCTAACTTTGCTAGTGGAGAAAAATAGTATAAAACTAAATACAGTTATTAGGGTGTTCTGGTTATCTAAAAATTCCAGTTATCTGAGAGTCCCATCAATCTAGGAAAAAACAATGGACAATAATAGTAAAAACTCAAGCCCATCCCTGACCTCTGCAGGAGACAGCTATGCTGCACCACTCTAGAGGAAGTGTGGAGTCAGATGGCATCCTGTGACTTGGTCACAATGGTTCCTCATTTGGCACTTGGCCAATACTGCTACGTGGTGCTCCTTATTATGGATTGAGAGTAAATTTTTAACCTGTCTCATATCTAGTAATGAAGTATTGTGCCCATTTACAATTATAGTAATTCAGTCTTATTTCAAATTCTGTTTAAGCTTCCCTGTCTTTGTTCTTTATAACAGGCTGTCCATCTCACTATCGAAATTATACAAATCTTGGTTTTCTATTATTATGTTCCATATATTTTAGGGATGGTCAGATGCCGTTAATTGGCTAATTGAGTTGTCTATATAATTTTTATCAACTACTCGATTAGTCAATAAGTGAAGGTATTGGGTCCGGGACCTACTCCAGTTGCAGCTCTTGCAGGAGGCATAAGGGATCTGTCGAAAAAGGCTTTCTTTCTTGACAGATCCCCCTCTAGACTGCCACTTTTTGTGAACAAAGTGCTGAGTCATCAAAATGCGGTGGCTATTTTATGCAAATTAGGCGTGGGATATTTAAATCTCTGCCTCATTTGCAATGTCGACCTGCCTAATCTGCATCCCTCTGCTGACAGAGGAATGCAGTCTAGACATACCCATGGAACATACACTGCTTATCAGATTTTTTTTCTCCAATCCACACAAGTTAGTAGATATTATTGTACTTCAGTGTGAATTCATTTGTGACACACATTCTTCATGATGTATGCAAAATGCAGGGCTCATCAGCACTTATTTTCATACTCGGGTTTACTGTGTACTAACTCAGTCTTTACTTTTTCTATTTAGTTCATGGGCATTCAGTGCACATAACAAAGACAAAATATAGTCCCTCTGCCTATAATGCATTTAAGAAAGCCAATACATTTATCTCTGTCTCTCTCTATATAAAAAAAAGTTTCCTATGGGACAACAGAGTGACATAATCATGTCACTCTGGCATCTCACAGCCCTACCCTTCCTCTGACCTGCCTCCTCCTGCCCTTCTCCATAGTTGCACTGGGGCCACGAGCTGTGTGGCCCTCCCCCCTCACAGGAGGCACTGTAGCTATGCACCCACCCCCCAGCAGCCAGAGGGTCAGGGCTAGCTCAGTTCAGCCCAGACTCCAGTGGCTGGGATGGAGAGAGCTGCGGTTGGCCTGGTCTCAGGGGAGCACAGAAGCCAGCGGGAGAGAGCCGGGGTAGGCCATGGCTGCCATGCCTTGGCCTGGCCTTCCCCAGTGGCCGGGGATGGGTGGCCAGGGTTGCCTTCCCCCAGAGAGGAGTGGGAGTTTGAGCACAGCGAGCAGGGGGTATTGCCCCCTAGTAATTACTAAAATGATAATTTTCATAGTAGAGTTTGAAAAATCCTTATTTATTTATTTAAAATATTTGAGGTAGCTTACAAAATTTTTAAAAAGACAATATAGATAAAATATAAGACCCCAGACAGACATAAAACCTGCTTAGACATATTGAGAGGAGGGGTACAGTTACTACTTGTGTCATTGTTGAGCAGGGATTGCAAGACTGCTACACTCTGTGAGTGTAATCAAAGGCTACATGGGAGCACAAGTAAGGTAAAGTACTAGAGGCCACATTTTCAAGAACCAATTTATTTAGTCACTTAAATAAGTGACCAAATTGGGTGCTATGTTCTTTGGGATACCTGGTCTGGGTATCATACTGACTGCCAGTAACTGTCAAGCCCTCCATATGCTTGGTTTCCTGTTTTCAAGAGTGCAGGCTAAAATAATAGCGTGGAAAATGATGTGGCAGGGATAGGTAGAGAATGACTTTATTTGAGGAGACCTGTCATCAGAATTGTAGAATTATAGTTCTGGAAGAGAACTTGAGAAGTTATCAAGTCTAGATCCCAAGGTTGAGGTATGACTTTTCCTGGCAGGCATTTGGCTAGCCTTTTCTTAAAAACCTCCTCTGATGGAGACTCCACAATTTCCACAGGAAGCCTATTCTCGAGTTTAACTACCCTTTTAGTTATATTTTCTTAATATCTAATCTAAATCTCCCTTGCATCATATCAATTATTCTTCTGCCCTCACTAGACATGGAGAACAATTTATCACGGTGCTCTTTGTAACAGTCCTTAACATATTTCAAGACTGCTGTCAGTCCCCATTCAGTCTTTTTTTTTCCTCAAAACTTTTTTTCTAAACTTTTTGTCAGGTTTTCTAAACTTTTTGTCATGTTTGTTGGTCTTCTCTGAACTCTCTCCAATTTCTTCACATCTTTCCTAAGTCTAGCATTCAGAATTAGCCACAGTACTCCATCTTAGACCTCACGAGTGCTGAGTAGAGTGGGATGATCACCTCCAATGTCTGACATAGGACACTACGGGTAATACAACCCAGAACATTAGCCTTTCTTGCATCTGCATCACGGTGACTGCTATTCAGCTTTTGATCCAGCATAACCCCTATATCCTTTTCAGTAGCACCAGCATCATTTCCCCCATTTTGTAGTTGTGTATTTGGTATTTCCTTCCTGAATATAGTACTTTGCATTTGTCTTCATTGAATATCATCTAAGTGAATGCAAATGAGCTGCTTAGACCTTGCTCTTGCTATTAGTCAGAACTTAGGGACATATTTTTTTAAGTCATCTAGATGTATTTGCATGTTGTATACTGCAATATAAATAACACTAATATGTGGTAATAAATGGGAAAAATAAATGCATGTGTAAATCCATTATGCCTGAGTATATAACTGTGTGCTAAATATGATAAAGGGTGTATATCTTCTTCTTCTTTGCCCTTAGCTCCTATGGGAGCATAGGCCATCAACAATTTCTTTCCAAGCCTCTCTGTCTGAGAAGAGACCTGGATGTGAATGTGAGGAAAACGGGTAAAAGCTGGAGAGAATTAGAAAAGTGTATATAAAAGATGTGCTAAAATACTTTGATTTTCCAAACCTTTTGTATTATACATTACTTGAATTTTCACTTAGGTTTATGACATGGAACTGGGTGAAGAATTTTATCTTCCACAAAATAAAAAAGAAAGTAGACAGATAGCACCCGAACTCTCAGATCTTGTTATCTATTGCCAAGCTGTGAAATTTCCTGGTAAGTATGCTTTTATTTTTGCCCATGCTTATTGCTTTACATTTTCTAAATCTTTGGGATATTACACTGATCTAATTGTAACTGCTTGTACTACAGAATTCAACCTGTAGAAAGCAGGGCACATTCCTTTTTTGTAGTTATGGATTCTCAGGGTGATAATTCTATGTGCTGTATTTATCATGGAGGGGGGAAAGCACTCCAGTCCTTAAAGTGTAGAGAAAAAGGTAATTCCTACCTGAATGACATCTGAGAGCAAGCTATTTCAGTCAGAAGAAGAGTTTCCAGCCTCTGGGAAGCAGAGCAGGTCAGGACTCAGGTATGTCTACGCTGCACTGCTATTTCAAAATAAGCTATTCCAGAATAGTTATTCCAAAATAGCTTTATTTCAAAATAGCACATATACACTGTAGGAAAGCCTCAAAATTAGTCCGAGGCAGGCTTCCCTAATGTAGACATGCTATCTCGATTTAGAGCCCTTGGAGGCACTGGGGAGGAATAACTTAGAATGGCCCTGGTAAGGGGCTATTTCGAAATAGCAGCAGTGGAGCATCTACACATGCCTTATTTTGAAATAGCTATTTCAGAATAGGCATTATTCCTCATAGAATGAGATTTATAGATTTGGGAATAAACCGTCCGTTACTTCAAAATAACGGAATGGCGGTGTAGATGCTCACATTGTTATTTCAAAATAACACTAGTTATCTCAAAATAATGGTGCAGTGTAGATGCACCCTTTAGGAGGAAGTTCCAGCTTAGCTTATCTCACCACTGACAGATGCCTTCCCTCTCACCTGAACCCCAGCATTATCATCTACATCCCCTGTGACCCAATAATTGGGCTGAATACCAGCTGGGTAATGGAAAGAGAGAGAAGTCATGTTGGGGAGAAGGCTAAAAGGAAATTGGCATGGAACCAGAAGTAGAGAACATCTGGAGAGCAGGCCAGCAGCTCAGGTAAGGTGGATGGATGGCAGGAAGAAAATGGCCCATGATAGGCATGTAGCAAGCAGTGATCTGCTGGAGGATAGAGAGATAGATGGGTGGCTTCATTTTGTAGTGATGAAGAGATAGGGATTGGAAAACAGTAGGAGGTGGAGGAACTGAAATTGCGATTACTTGTTTTCATTTGCTCAGTTTAGATCACTGAGGATTATGGTATTTTGAGTAATATGCTGTACATTCTGTATACAAACTCATTTTTAAATTGGAAATTAACCATTCATTACTGATAGTTGAAATGAGAATTCAGCTTCTTTAGTAGACTGATTCTCTACAAAAATATTGGTAACTATTACACATTAGAATTTAATACAAAAAGAAATATACTCTGAAATTAATATACACAAAGTCAAGGTAAACTAACTGAAAAATTAGAAAAAAAATTGTCTAATTTTAGTTTTATAAATGCTAGGTGTTACTTGTAATAATGGCAAGATAAAAAACAAGATTTGTGATTTTTAATTTAGCTGTTCCCTTAATAAAATCTGCAGCTAAGTAATTGTCTTTCAAGCTGAACATTATTTTCTTCTTAGCAGAGAGTAGTCTTTTTCATCTTTCATATAGTTTCAATTACTCAAAACATCTTATTACATAGATTTATAACTGTGTAATAATAGCAGACATGATTCTGGGATACATTAACAGGTGTGTTGTGAGCAAGACATGAGAAGTCATTCTTCCGCCCTACTCTGCCCTGGTTAGGCCTCAGTTGGAGTATTGTGTCCAGTTCCAGGCACCGCATTTCAAGAAAGATTTGGAGAGGGTCCAGAGAAGAGCAACAAGAATGATTAAAGGTCTAGAGAACATGACCTGTGAAAGAAGGCTGAAAGAATTGTGTTTGTTTAGTTTAGAAAAGAGAAGATTGAGGGGGGATATGATAGCAGTTTTCAGGTATCTAAAAGGGTGTCATGAGAAGGATGGAGAAAACTTGTTCATCTTGGCTTCTGAGGATAGAACAAGAAGCAATGGGCTTAAACTGCAGCAAGGGAGATTTAGGTTGGACATTAGGAAAAAGTTCCTAACTGTCAGAGTGGTCAAACACTGGAATAAATTACCCAGGGAGGTTGTGGAATATCTATCTCTGGAAATATTTAACAGTAGGTTAGATAACCATCAGGGATGGTCTAGTCAGTACTTGGTCCTGCCATGAGAGCAGGGGACTGGACTCGATGACCTCTTGAGGTTCCTTCCAGTCCTAGTATTCTATGATTCTATGAACTTTGTGAAATGTCCCTAAAATGCAATAAAAATAAATACTCACTTGCATAATTAAATTACTCCTTTGTTTTAATTCAAAACATAATTAGAACAAATGAGAAAATCAGTTCCTTTCACAGGGAGGACCACATTTATAGACATAACTAGAACCCATAAAGGGTACTTTGCTAAGTTAACTTTTATACGTCCTCTCTTTTGGGAATAGTCCTGCCTTTTGGGGACATAGAGTCCTTAATCACTGTGCAGCAAGAGGACAAGAAGATGCACTTCACAGACTCCAGCCAATAGAGAATATTTGGGTTTGATCAGTGAAGCAACGAGGACAAAGCTAGTGGATCCATAATTCTGTGGAACTTCTGATCAGTTTCTTCCAGAGAAGGGAAAGGACAGTTGGGTGGGGGTTGAGTAATATAGTCCTGAAGTAGCAGAAGTGGTTCTGCTGTTAATGTATACAGGTTGCACCTTCCAAATCCGGGACTCTCTAGTCCAGCAACATCCATGGTCCAGCATGACCATGGATGTTCCTGGAAAAGAGCGCCCCAGAGCAGGAGGGCTAGCAGCTGGGAGTGTGGTGCAGCCCATCTAGTCTGGTAACAGCCAGGCTGCAGCAGCCTGGGCAGCGGTTGTCCCAGGGCAGCCTGAGCCAGGACTATAGCAGCTCAGGAGGGGAAGCCTGGCTGAGGCTGCATCAGCCTGGGCGGTGGCGGGGTGCAGTATCCTGGGCCCAGGTGGCGCTGACAGCGGCAGTATGGGTATGTCTAGACTACATGGCTCTGTCGACGGAGCCATGTAGATGAGTTTACTAGACATAGGAAAATGAAGAAGCGATTTAAATAATCGCCGCTTCATTTACATAAAGATGGCTGCCACACTGTGCCGATCAGCTGGTTGGCGGCACAGCAGGGCAGTCTGGACGCGCTGTGGTCGACAAGGGAAGCCTTTGTCGACCGCTTCAGTAAACTTCATTTCACGAGGCATACCGGAGCGGTCAAGAAAGGCTTCCCTTGTCGACCACAGCGCGTCCAGACTGCCCTGCTGTGCCGCCAACCAGCTGATCGGCACAGCGTGGTGGCCATTTTGATGTAAATGAAGCGGCAATTATTTAAATCGCCGCTTCATTTTTCTATGTCTAGTAAACTCATCTACATGGCAGTCTAGACATACCCTATGATTGTGGTTGGCTTCCACCCAACAGAATCTGGGCCAGGGCCATGGCAACCCAGCAGAAGCAGCGCAGTTAGGAGCTATGTGCCACCTGGCAGCGGGGTTGGAGCTGCGGCAGCCTGATTGGGTAGCGTGCCACACGGCCAGCAGTGGAGCCAGAGCTTGGGCTAATTAGCAGGTAGCCTTGCTGGGGCAGGTGAAGCCAGCAGTGGAGAGGGGCAGGTGTCAGGGGACCCCCCGTTGTCTGGCAAATTCCCTCATCCAGGACTGGTCAGGTACTGAAGGTGCCAGACCAGGGAGGTCCAACCTTCTTCCCTCTGTTTCCTTTTACTTGGTTTGTGGTTTACACTTAGGCTGTGTCTACACTGGCCACTTATTCCGGAAAATCAGACACTTTTCTGGAATAACTTGCCAGCTGTCTACCTGGCCCCTTGAATTTCTGGAAAAGCACTGATGATCTACTGTAAGAAATCAGCCGCTTTTCCGGAAATACTATGCTGCTCCCATTCGGGCAAAAGTCCTTTTTCCGGAAAAGCGTCCGTGCCAATGTAGACGCGCTTTTCCAGAAAAAAGCCCCGATCGCAAAAATGCCGATCGGGGCTTTTTTCTGGAAAAGCGCGTCTACATTGGCACGGACGCTTTTCCGGAAAAAGGGCTTTTCCGGAAAAGCATCCTGCCAATGTAGACGTGCTTTTTCCGGAAATACTTATAATGGAAAACTGTTCTGTTTTAAGCATTTCTGGAAAAGGGTGTCAGTGTAGACATAGCCTTACAGTTTGGCTGTTTCTAAGGAAGCCAATAATAGAGCATGAGACCAGAAGGGACTCTGTGATCATCTGACTTCCTGTATAACATAGACCAGAGGATTTCCTTGAATTAGTTCTTATTTAATTTGGGAATCCATGAAGGGCTCTATTGAAATAATGTGCTTAATTTCGCTAAGTATGTGCAAGAGGTTTGAAGGACTCAAGTATTGCTAAACTGAAATAGGCTGAGCATTCAGTGGGGCTATAATACAATTTCCATGGAACTTCAAATTAGTAGTTAAAGTGTTTATTTGTAATGTAATTTCAGTATTTTCCTCTATTGTAACATAAGTTTTCCATTTACATCTTTGTGTACGAGTTATTTTTTCAAATTTTAATAAAAATAAGAAAAATGTACAGTACAAATATGTCATGGTGCACCTTGCTTTCATGAATTGTGCTGATGTCAAAAGACCTCGTTACTGCATATTTACTTTGTATTTCAGTTAGTTCTGACCAAAACCTACTGAAGTCAATGGAAAGGAATTTAAATAAGTGGAAATAGACTACATTGATTTCAGTGGACTTTAGATCTTATCCTTAATGATTGTTTTGTTTAAATATATGTATATGAAATATTTATTATACTGTTTTTCATCTGAGTATCTCAAAACAGGTCACATTATTTTTACGTCTGAGTTTATTGTGATTGTTGTAGAATTTGTTTTGAGAGTCATTGGGACTATTCTGTAATATAATCACTTCCTGCTCTCCAGCCAAAAATAAATCTCAGGCAACGGTTATATCACAAAGATTTTTTTTCTGTGTTACATCGTATATCATCTTCTAGATGACCATAAATAGAGTCAGTTACTGGGAATAATATGCTAGTTGTCGTGTGTGCTACGTTAGTATAAGTGCCCCAAAGAATAAAGTAAAAAAGGATGGAAAATGTCATGCCCTCTTGGTCATGATTTTTGGCTTATTTATTTTACTTTTATGGGAACAGGCTTGTCAACACTGAACCCATCTGGCTCTAGCAGAGGAAAGGAAAGAAAAAGCAGGAAGTCCATTTTTGGCAACAATCCTGGCAGACTAAGCCCTGGGGAACCAGCAACACTTGCCAAGGCATCTGGAAAAGGTAAAGTCAGCATCTTCTTTCACCAGTCACGTGGAATGACTATAGTCCAATACATACACCAGATCAAGTTGTTAAAGATCAAACTATTTACTGTGTGCATGCTGCTCTTGCATTTTGGAATCACTTTTTACTAGCAGTGAAGCTATTACAACAACTTCTTTATAAAGCATCAACTGTAGCATATGGAATGAATGTTAGTATAGGATTAATGTGCTGGACTTGTAAAAACAGTTAAAATTACTGATGAGAGTGATTGATTCACAATTAAAATATTTGTATCTTATAGCTTGAAGATGTATATTAATGTTAAGTTTATATCTTAAAAGATACAAGAGGAGATTTTCACAGGTGCAAATGCCAATTAAAACAGCTCACTGCCATTTTATGCCTTGAAAAGCTTCCTCCTAGTTTTTTGGCAGAATCCTGCACTTAGTCTTTGTGCATACCTGAGTGGGGCTGCAAGGGATATAAATGAACAGAGAGTTTGGCCCTCCATCTTCTACTGCAGGCTTTATAGTAAAGTTTGAAAGTAACATAGTAGTCTAAGAAATTTTATATTCTTTCCATGTAAACAATTTGTATTCCCAGCAGTGTACTACTAGCAATATTATAAAGGTTTCCAGCAATGAATTAAGATTCAAGATTTGTTTCACACTTTTAAGATATTCTTGCACATTAAATACCACATTAAATATGTACTAATTTAATTCAAGGAAATTATATTCGAATATTTATTTATGGAGAGATCACAGAAAAAAAATCTGAAGCTTGAGGTCTCAGGATCTGCAGCTATAATTGGATATTAATGTTTATTTTCCAGGTCCTTTTGAGAGTGCTCGGCAAACCTGGGAAGAACTTTGTTCTCCTCCTTTCAACCCTACTACTTCTCTCAGTGCTATCATAAGGACGCCTAAGTGCTATCATATCTCTTCACTGAATGAGAATGCTGCCAAACGTCTGTGCAGACGGTATTCTCAGAAACTGATTGAGCATACCACCTGTCAGCTGTTGAGAACATATCCTGCTGCCACACGCATTGATTCTTCAAACCCCCATCCTCTTATATTCTGGCTCCATGGAATACAGCTAGTGGCTGTTAACTACCAAACTGATGGTATGGGTAGAATATTTCCTCTAGTAATGTATGTTTGTGTACATTTTAAACATTGTAAAATTGTTGCTTTAATTTAAATTACTATAATATTCTTTTACCTTACTGTCATCTATACTTGTGGATTTATTAGACAGATATTGGGTTATTTGGCAAATATACTGTACTTGAAAAAGATTTAAACAGGTTTCACAAATAACATGTACAATAAACTACATTGTGGTTGAAGTGAAGTTTTGAGTGTGCACATACACATGTATCCCACCCCACCCGGTGGTACCTCGTAAAGAATAGGGACTAGATTGTGTCCATTAGCACAGCCTATGTAAAAGGACACCATTCCAGAAATAGCTCTGGGAGAAATTGTGGCTCTTAACGGGCACAATTTATTTCCTTGCACCCTTCTTGTTCCAAGGGAGGTAATTTATGTTAGCTCTTGAAAGGGTGCATCTTCCTGCCCAAACAATCTTCTCACGTACTTCTTTGCTGCAGAGAATATTCAGACCCTGCACTATACCCAGAAGGGAGAGAAATGATTTGGTTAAAATTCCATGTGGCCACTTGAGATGTGTGGTGGAGTTTTCCACATGCAGCCATGTTAAGGCTAATAGCAATCTAGCTATTAGCCTTTACCCTAGCTAACCCTATGTGAATGAGTGCTTCCAGAATACTGGAATTCTGCACCTAATTTGATAGGTCTTCTGTCTCACTGATAACATGGAATTACTTAGAGCACTGCACCCATAGATACTATAATTGACTAGAATCCAGCACTTTTATAGTACCATGGCCATCATATCATTTTATGTTAACTTTTTAAGTATACAAAAGCACTGAATTACCTTTTGCTAGAAGTGAGTCCTTATGGAATACAGTCTGGGTACTGATGCCCTGTTGGTTAAAATCTTTGAGCTATATTCTATCTAGCTTATGCTTCTTACCTATTGGATTTTCATAAAAATTTCTCATTCAGCTGTCTTCAAATTACACAATCAGGTTTTTTTCATCCTAGATTTAAAACGCTTGCTAGGTATTGTGAGTGGGTGTGGCCAAGTCCCAAATAAGGCAAAAACTAAAGAATGAGTGAAACTGCAAAAATACTTATTTTTTTCATGTAAATTAAATCTGCCCCCCAATTTAATATTATACCATCAATTCAATGTTACCTGTAATTTTTTTAAAAAACCATATTCTGCTTTGTATTGAATCGTCACTCTTTTTCATTTGTGACTACTTTACTTTTGCAGATCTCCCTTTGCATCTTAATGAAGCAATGTTTGAGGCGAATGGCGGCTGTGGGTATGTTTTGAAACCTCCAGTTCTGTGGGACAAGAACTGTGCAATGTACCAGCAATTTTCTCCATTAGACCGAGATCTGTACAATGTGGAGCCAGCTATATATTCTTTAACAGTAAGTGTGTTTTCAGGGCATTTTTTTAAATATTGCACTCTCAGTGCTGCTGCTTCCAGTCTGTGGCTTGGCCCTCTGAGCAGATAACTAAGTCTTTTCCTTTCTGAGAAAATGAATTTTTCTGGACCAGCTGCCTAGTGGGCATCTCCTGCACCCTGAGGCATTACCCAGTAGTTAGTAGGGGAACCCAGGCCTGCCCTCTACGTTGGGTTCCAGCTCAAGGATTCTATGACATGCAGCTGGCCCGTACTGCCTCTGATTTCCCTGAGCTTTTTCCTGTTTGTCTCCCCTTACCCTGGATTTGCCAGCTTTTCCGCTCCCTCCTCTTAGAAAGTCTGTGCAACCTGCCTTTCTGCAGTCTTAAATACTCTCCTCTCCCATGTGATTGCTCTTCCATAGCTGTTATCCAGCCCAGCTACCTGCCTTTCTATAGTTGCTGCCTGTTTCTGCCCCGTTGAGCCCATTCCTCCTCCACTGGCTCCCTGGCTTGCAGCCTAATTAACCTATCTGGCCCCACTGAGTCTTGCCAGGCCAGTGTGGGTACACACCTAATCATAACTTCCAGTTCCTGATTTGGTGGTCTGTAGTAGATCCTACCATGGTATCTCCTTTAATTTTCCCTGTTTATCTTTACTCATAGATTTTGAAGTGTACTATCTCTGACCTTTTTCTGGACCTCAAAACAAGTGGATATGTTTTTATGTATATTGCAACATTTCCTCCCTTTTTATCCTGCTTGTTCTTCCTGAATAAGTGATATCCCTCTATACCAATATTGAAGTCATGAGACTATCCCACCAAGAATTAGATGACAATTAAATCAAAATTTAAGCTTATGTACTAATATTCCTAGTTCGTCCTGTTTAGTCCCCACACTCCTTGCATTTGTACATAGACTTGTAAGATGTTGAGCACATTTGCCTACTGATTTTCCTCATGTTATTCCTATGTTCTCTATGTCTCACACACATACACAACCCAACACAGGAGCTGGTACTATTCCTCCATGGTTCCTTCGCACAGTCACTTGGGCAACAAAATAGTAGATGAAATTCAGTGTTAAGTGCAAAATAATATAAAGTACAAAACATAATTCCAACTATGCATACAAATGATAGGATCTAAATTGGTTGATACCATTCAAGAAACAGATAGTTGATAATTGTCTGAGATCAGCTCAATGTGTAGTGACAGTCAAAACAGCTAACTATGTTAGAATCATTAGGAAAGGATATAGATAAGAAGACAGGAAAATATCATAATGCTGCTCTATAAATTTATGGAATCCCCACACCATGCAGTTCTAATGGCCTCATCTGAAAAAAAGGTGTATTAAAATTGGCTAAAGTGGCGACCAGGGCAACTAAAATGATTACGGATAGGGAAAAGCTTCCATACAAAGAGAGATTAAAAAGACTTATTTCAAAGGACTGTCTGAGGAAAATATAATAGAGGCTTATAAAATCATGAATGCTGTAGAGAAAGTGAACACAGTGTTTTCCCCCTTTATATAACATAGGAAGCAGGGGTCAGCCAATGAAATTAATAGGCAGAAGGTTTAGAACAAAGAAAAGGGGGTACTTCACACAACACACACACAATCTGTGGAACTCATTGTCAGGGGCTGTTGTGAAGACCAAAAGTATTATTGGACTAAGAATTAGATACATTAATGGTGGACAAGTCCATCAATAGCTGTTGGCTAAAATAGTCAGGAATGCAACCCTATACTCTGAATGGCACTAAATGTTTGATGGCTAGAAGTTGAACTGGACATAAAGGGATGGATCATTCAAGACTTAACCTGTTCTGTTCATTCCTTCTGGAATATCTGGAACCAACCACTATCAGAAGACAGGATGCTGGGCTATTATGGTCATTTGTATGTTCTTATGTTCTAATCACTTCCCCATTTTCCTGTCCTCTCACAGGCCTTTATAGCCCCATGTGTAACTCTGTCCTCTTTTTATCATTTCAGTTCAGCCCATCTACTCTGACACAGGGAAACTGTGCCTAGTTTACTCACAGGGCCCAGTTAGTTTGTGATACCATTGTAGTGTCAGTTAGCTAGGACCTGCAAACATTATATTCTCTTGAATAAAGTTACACATATGCTTAGGTATTTTCAAGTCTTCACCTCTCCCTTACTGAAAAAACTTTTATAAATATAAGTAGGGGTATAATGAAAACCCCTTAAATCTTTTTAAAAGTAGTATAACGAGGATATATTATTTAAAGAATGTTTTGTAAGAAATTTGGATGTTTTGAAATTAGTCCCTTTGGAGGGATATTTGAGAAAAATTACATATGAGATAGGATACATTTGATTCCTGTTTAATTATGAGCATTTAGGGTCAAATTCTCTCATTTATCAGAGTAGCTCCATGAATCCAGTGCAGTAACTCTGATAACTAAGAGGGAAAATATAACTCTTATTATCTAGATTCCATTTACAAGTCCATTTTTTGCATTAACTTTAATTTCAAATTATTCCGTGTGTGTTATATTTTTCGGATAAAAGATACACTAGTAATTGTATTTGTTTTAAGCTGCTCTATTTCTGAAATTACTGTCTTGGCAATTCAGAATACTGAAGCAGAATTGTAATTAGATCAGCATGTTGACAAATTGTTCTTTGGAGTATGATAAATGTTATTTAACTTGAAAATGTAACATAAAAACCCCAATCCACTAATTGGTTACTTTGTGTTCTCTGCTTCAGATTGTGTCTGGACAAAATGTTTGTCCTAGCAACAGCACAGGAAGTCCATGCATTGAAGTTGATGTACTTGGGATGTCTCTGGATAGCTGCCATTTCCGCACAAAACCCATTCATCGCAATACTCTCAACCCCATGTGGAATGAACAGTTTCTCTACAGGGTTCATTTTGAGGATCTAGTCTTTCTTAGATTTGCAGTTGTTGAAAACAACAGTTCAGCTGTAACTGCTCAAAGGATCATTCCATTAAAGGCTCTAAAAAGAGGTAAAATACAGTTTGCATTAACCTGGTACCCAGTGACTAGACTGAGCCTGAACTATGGCTGAGAATGCTCAGCATCACTCAGTGAGATGTATACAGTCCTGGGGCCATCTGTCTCAGATGTCAAATAGAGCATTTTCAGTGCAGTTCAGTTTATGCTGTGCTGGTTACACTTTGCTCCCTGAAACCATTCGAGTAAGTGGTGATTACGAGGCAAAAAGATGTCCCACCCATACCCCCTTTTTCATAGCTATGCTCCCTGCACCAATGGCTGGAAAGGGGGGATGGGCAAAGTGTAAGGTTGCTACAGTAACTGTCACAAAGGATTTTTTCTAAACCAGAAAATCCTCAAGAGGGTGGTCAAGCTGATCCCAAGGCTTCCTTGTGCTGCTGTGGTAGCATAAAATAGTCTCAACACAAAAGAAGGAAAGACTTCAGTACTCAGTCTCCAGACGTACTCAGCACTTCATAGGATCATGCCCATGTTGTTGCATAAACAGGAATTTTAATTCAAACCATTACATTCCTTAATAGTTCAGGCATAGCAACATCTTAGATGCTCAAGTTTTCAACTTTATAAATCATGTATTGCACTTTAACATAATATGCTTGACAAGTTTTCTCTTTCCAATGACATATTATTTTAGGGTATAGACATCTCCAGCTACAAAACTTACACAATGAAGCCTTAGAAATCTCAAGTTTATTCATAAATAGTCGGAGGATGGAAGAAAATCCCCCTGGGAATGTTGTGCCTACTTCTTTGGTAATTTACTTTATGTGCATATCAAATATATTTGTTCATGTGTTCTAAATGACAAATAAACTGCAATAGTACATTGGAGACACAAAATGGGTGAGATAACATTTTATTGGACCACTTTCTCTTGGTGGACACAAGCTTTCAAGCTACACAACTTTTCTCCACAAGTCTGGCCCAGAGGAGGTGTGGCTTCTTTCTAGGGCCGGCCGAGGGCAGGATGGTAGAGAGGCACACAGCCTGGACAGTTGCTTCTTCCCAGAGCTAGGTGGAGTGTTGTTTTTCCCCAGGGTTGGCATGGGATGGGGGGAGCCATGCAGCCCAGCCAGTGGCTTCTCCCCATGGGCGGCCCAGGCCAATGAGGGCCATGCTGGCCAGCCAACCGCTGCTCCCCAGGGTGGCAGGGGCTGTGCTGCCAGCCAGCGGCTGAAACTTGCTGCCCCCCTGTGGTCATTCTGGGGTAAACCTATCCCCATGCTTGTTGCCCCCTTGTGGTTATTCTTGGGTATAACTGTTCCTGCTATCACACCCCTCCCTTTCCATTTGATGGGAAACAGTTGCATTCCATGCACATCTCATTGTCCTGGCACAACCAAATCCTTACCTTGCTTTAAGTTATGGTAAGAGGAAGCTATGTACCAAATTTGGTGGTCCTAGCTCTTACTGCTTAGGAGTTCTTGAACAAACATACTCATAGATGGATGGACACAGACAGATTCAAATACTTTCTCAAATACGTATATTCTCAGAGAAAATAAGTTCATAACTTAATTGGTTAATAACATAGTATTAACCAATCAGGATGCTTTTAATGTAGATTGATTAATAATTAAATCACTCGATGTCTTAACATGTGCTGCAAGGAGCCATGTGCTGCAAGGAGCCACAGGAGGCACATTAAAGAGCCACTTGTGGCTCAGGAGCTTCAGTCTGAGTATCACTGAACTAGATCCTTGAGTCATATTCAGTGTTTGTCACATCGGTGGGAGCAAAGCTGTCCAGTGTCTTATTTCTTTATGAATGTATCATTAACAGTTCAGTTGAGACCGAAAGTGATGCAAGTCAGAGGCAGCTGCTTCTGTCTGACGCAGTGAAATGGCCGTTGGTGGTGTTGTCACTGTGTTGGTCCCACAATATTAGAGAGCTAAGGTGGGTGAAAAAATGTGAAGATTATAGAATTCTAATAGGAGAAGGGAATTCTCCAGGGGTATATATAAAACAACTTACAGTGTTGGACTTTTAAAAAAAATTATTTCTTTGAAAATGTATTATTAATCCCATTTGCTGGTGTCATGTTTTGTTTGATATATCAGATACATTAATCTACTAGCTATCACTTTTGCAATAGGTAACAGCAGAACAAAAACTAATTAAAAGCCCAAAAACATACTAAGAGGAAGTATGTTATATACACTTTTTCTGTGACCTATAAATGTATATCTGAAAAAAATGTTATATGTCTTTTCCACAGCTGTTTAGCACAGAGGAGAGAAGAGCCTCAATATCGTACAAGGTCACAATACATGGAATTCCAGGCCCTGAACCCTTTACTGTTTTCACTGTAAGTGAAGAGACTACAGCAGCACAGCTTCTTCATCAAGTAAGTATGTCCACTTGCCTTATAGAGAAGGTCACAAGAACCAGCAGTAACTAGCTATGTGCCAGGCAGTATCTCACCTTCCTCCTTTTTTGACTGATATGGCAAAATGAATGTTAGGATGCATTAGGGAAAGGAAAGGTAGTAGGACAGGAAAATATAATGCCACTATATAAATCCATGGGAAAAAGTGTATTGGACTCATAGGCATCAGTAGTGGAATATTAGGGTATGTCTCGACTACATGCCTCTGGCGACAGAGGCATGTAGATTAGGCTACCTGGCATAGGAAAATGAAGCGGCGATTTAAATAATCGCCGCTTCATTTAAATTAAAATGGCTGCCGCGCTGTGCCGATCAGCTTTTTGTCGGCTCAGTGCACTAGTCTGGACGCTCCGTGGTCGACATCAAAGGTATTTGTCGACCACCCCAGTAAACCTCATCCCACAAGGCATAACGGGGCGGTCAACAAATGCCTTTGATGTCGACTGCAGAGCGTCCAGACTAGTGCGCTGAGCCAACAAACAGCTTAACGGCTCAGCGCGGCAGCCATTTTAATTTAAATGAAACAGCGATTATTTAAATTGCCACTTCATTTTCTTATGCTGGGTAGCCTAATCTACATGCCTCTGTCGGCAGAGGCATGTAGTCTAGACATACCCTTAGAAATCACACATCTCAGAGAACCAGAGCTATCATAAGATAGGTAACTGTTTCTTAAGAAAAAGGTATAATAATCTTCTGTGTGAAAGGATATCACAATATTAAAATGAAGCAAGAGTGATCCATGATTTTGCAGTATTAGGACATTGCAGAATGACTCAAATCCCAGTCTATGGACAGAAAGTGCATTGTCTTGAAACTTCCACACTACCTGTGCAATTACGTGCCAACTGAATGTGTTGTCAACCTAAGTCCAATTTTTCTGCAACTCTCTGACAATCATAATTAGGAATCAATTAAAATAAGGAATGATCTGAAGCTTTGTGCAAAATTCAGATTGAGCCATGATTTGAAAAGTGTTGGTTAAATGTAACATTTGCCCACTATACTTCAGAATCCTGGCAGGAGCAGAAGGCCAAATACCACAAGACCGACAGTTCTAGAGGTATTTCTGATCTAGCCAGAAAGAATGTCATGAGAATGTCGAATCTACCACTTAAATCCCTTCCTCACAACAGTTGCTGTCTTGGAGTATTGTTGGCTATTATGTGATTGGGTCAGTTTGAGAAAATACTACAGGCAGTCCCCGGGTTACGTACAAGATAGGGACTGTAGGTTTGTTCTTAAGTTGAATTTGTATGTAAGTCGGAACTGGTACATATTGTAGGGGAAACTCTAGCCAAACCTTTCTCCAGAGCTCAGTTTTATTCTCCCACACCTCACTTCCCTCAGTCCTTTATTCTCAAGCTGAGGTGTCTGCTGAGAAAAGCTTCTCCGCATCTCCCTGGTCTGCTGCCGGAGGGGGGGGGGGCCTAGCTTCGCGTCTCCCTGGTCTGCTGGGGGGAGGGGCGCTAGCTTTGTGTCTTCCTGGTCTGCTGGGGGGAAGCAGCTAATGCGGGGTTGCCTCACCCCATTTGTAAGTAGGGATCCGATGTAAGTTGGATCCATGTAACCCAGGGACTGCCTGTATATAAATACATGGTACATCCACATAATGAAAACTGGCTGCAGCCAGGATGGGTCGTGTGACAGGCAGCTTGCTCTGGTGCTGCAGTGTGGCCTAGCTCCAACTCTGGCACACAGCCAAGGCAGGCCATGTTATGGCTGCCCGGCTGCTCCCGGGGCAGGCCACGTGGCAGATGGCTTTCTCCGTATGCTGGAGCTGGGGCTGGTGCAGCTGTTCCTGCAGCAGCCTGGCCAACAAGGCTCCAATTGGGCAGCATCTTGTTCTGGTTATCCCATCTCAAAAAAAAGATACATTAGAACTACAAAAAAAAATGCAGAAAAGGTCAAGAAAAATGATTAGGAGTATGGAATGCTTTCACACGAGGAGATGTTTAAAAGATTGGGACTGTTCAGCTTGGAAAGGAGGCTGAGGAGAGAAATAATAGATGCAGGTAAAAGAATAAATGATGTGAAGAAAATGAATATGGAAGTGTTATTTATTCTCTCACATAACACACTAATCGCAGGGCGGGGAGGTCACCCAATGGAATTGATAGACAGCAGTTGTAAAACAAACGAATGGAAATACTTCACATTGGCTACGTCTAGACTGGCATGATTTTCCGGAAATGCTTTTAACGGAAAAGTTTTCCGTTAAAAGCATTTTCGGAACAGAGCGTCTAGATTGGCACGGACGCTTTTCCGCAAAAGCACTTTTTGCGGAAAAGCATCCATGGCCAAACTAGACGCACTTTTGTGCAAAAAAGCTCCGATCATCATTTTCGCGATCGGGGCTTTTTTGCTGAAAACAAAGCTGAGCTGTCTACACTGGCCCTTTTGCGCAAAAGGGACTTTTGCCCGAACGGGAGCAGCACAGTATTTCCTCAAGAAGCACTGATTTCAGACAGTAGGAAGTCAGTGCTTTTGCGGAAATTCAAGCGGCCAGTGTAGACAGGTGGCAAGTTTTTCCAGAAAAGCGGCCAGTCTAGACACAGCCGTGGGGAAAGACTGATGGTTCAGATGAG